CGCAGGGCACCCCGCGGACAGACGCAGGACACCCCGCGGACAGACGCAGGACACCCCGTGGACAGACGCAGGACACCCCGTGGACAGACGCAGGGCACCCAGGGACAGACGCAGGACACCCCGTGGACAGATGCAGGACACCCCGCGGACAGACGCAGGGCACCTGTGGACAGATGCAAGGCAGTCCGTGGATAGAGGGCACCAGTGAGTCCCAGAGGCACCGCAGGCCTGCTGGCAGCGGATGCATATCCTTTCCTACCACTCATATGCAGCTTCATATCTGGGGGTGGCTACAGAAAAGTCATAAAGTGTGTGTTCTCCTGCCTTACAAAAGGGAGTCATTCTCTTCTTTAAAGCAAAGATTGGTTTCAGGATGACTTTAACGCAGCTTTAACAGAACTGTTTAAAAGCTAACGTTAAAGTAAAAACCCACTGTCTCTGCCTGCTCCATGCCCTCTTACACACTCCATCTCAGCACAAAGGGAACGCTGGCACTGTGTGCCCAATGCTGCACGGGCTCCCACAGGAGGCCCAGTGGCACCCACGTCCTGGGTGGGTGAAGCACAGCAGATATAAGGATGCAGCCCTGTGTCTCAGCATGATCCACGTATTGCCCACAAGCTGCGCCTCCACTGGGCAGGGGTGGAGGAAGCCCCTGGAGAGTCCTCCAGAAACAGTGAGCAGAAACTGTGTCCTCCACACCTGTTGTGCAGACAGGAGAGAGCCACACAGAGGAAGTCTGGCATCCCTGCCCATGCCTCACTCTGCAGGAGGCAAGGACCATCATGGAGGGAAAGGTGGCATGGGGCTCGGGGACCAGAGTACCACTTCACACTCAGGGGCTCCTTTCTCCTTGGAAGCCCTCAGGACTCAAGCAGAGCAAGTCTTGGAGAAAGACACACTGTAACAGGACACACACACACACACACACACACACACACACACGCACGTACCCTGGGACCCTTGCAGACACTGCGACCAGAGAGCCTGACCTCTCAGGGCCAGCTGGCGCCTAGGTCTAGGTCTGCACTCCGGGTCACATCCCAGGACCCTACACACCAAGTCTACCTCACAGACACCCTGAGGCTGGGCCAGCTGAGCCCCAGACTTGCCCTGCCTGAGGGCTGATCCATTCTGCCTGTCCAAGGGCTGATCAGCTGCTGTTCCTGAGACCCAACTTGAATACTCAGCTCTATGAACCCCATGTCCTTCCCAGGGTGCCCTGCATAGCTCAGTGCCCATGAACTCCTGCCAAGGAGTTGCCTGTGTCTCCAGATGCCAGGCTTGGCGAGCCCCATCTTTAGCATGGAGCTGCATCCCACATGGGTAGACATCCCTGTGCCTTCTAGTCCTGGCCTGGGTTGGGGAGTCCCCCCTTGAGCAGCAGGCTGTGGTGGGACTGGTATGTGCTGGAGACCTCGTTTCTTTTGGGAAAGGACTGGGTCACAAGGCTCTGACCTTGTGGCTGATCAATCTATTAATACAGCGATAAGATGGCTGTCTTACCGGAAGGAGCAGACACAGGATGCAGGGCCTACTTGAGGCACTGGGCCATGGGGTGTGGCCTTGGGGACTGCACCTGGCCCCTCCTCTCTGGCGCTCTCTCCTGCTCCCTGCTGCCCTGAGATGAACAGCTTCCTCCATCATACTTTTCAGTCATGTTCCTACCTGGGGCCAGTCCTGGACTGAACGCTCTGAATCCAAGTGGCACCCAAGAGGATAGGACCGGAACTTCCACTTCTTGAGGGTGATTTGACTAGGATTTGGTCAGTGTGAGGATGGCTGACCAACATTCCCACCAGAGTTTAGGGATCCGTTTAGGGACCAGAGGTAGGCACAAACGCCAGTAGCAATGGAGGCTGCAGTGAGGCCAGCAGCTGGGGCTTCTCTGCCTTGGGAAAGAATCAGGGAAGGATCGCACTGGAGGGGTGTTCTCTCCTTCATATCACATGCCGCTCTGTGGCCTGAACTGCTCCCCAGTAGCACCCCTCAAGGAAGACCAGAAACAGGGAAGGTTGGGGCGGCCACTGCCTTACTGTGAACGGTTCTACCCAGCAAGACATGCGGCAGGAATGAGAAAGATAGACAAGAAGACAAAAGCTGGGCTAGGTGGTCGCTGGTCTGCCTGATGGGCAAGACTCATGCAATGCACAACAACACGATCCTTTATTTATACTTCTGCAAAGTTAGCAACACTGGACACAAGGTTGCCTAGCTAATAATAGCTGGGCTGACCCAGACAGGATGTTTTTCTCAGGACTGAGGTAGCTTGTTTGCTTTAGGCGCTGAGGCCCAGTCCCACCTACAAACATGTGATCAATTTATTACCTTCCTGCAGCCTCTAACACCAGAGGATCCTGTTTGTGGTGTGCGTTGCCAGGAAGTTCTTGGCTCTGCCCTGTTCCTAGTAAGGTCTCTGCCCAGCCTCCCCCTAAGGGTCCAGTGAGAAGCCTGAGCCTGGGACAGCAAGGGCCTATGTCAGCCATTGCTGGAGCTGGCCAGGCCTGCAGGCATTCTAGGATCTGTCCCCTTCTCAAGGCCCCACCAGACCCCATGAAATCACATGGGGCAGCACAGAGCACAGCAGCTCCTGGGCCTCTAGAGGGAGGGAAGCAGGCCAGGTCCCCGGAAGCAGCCATCCTGGCCCCAGGCTGAGGGAGGAGAGGGACCCCAATAACTGGCTCCAGACAAGCAGCACAGCAAGGTGACAACAAGAATTAGCATTTGGACACCCTGATGAGAGGAAGGAAGGATATTTGGTTCCCTGAATGAAACATACATTGTTCACTGTCAAGCAGAACAACAGAACAAGACATAAATAACAGCCAGTGTCCATCCTACTGGTTTCACTCAAACACGGTGTGCACTATACTCCTGCAGGCTTGGAACTCTTGGTGCTGGGGCAGAGGCTAGACCCGGCCACACAGCAGAGATGAGGCAAAATCGTAGCTCGTGACTCACAACTGCTGGGGGCAGGAGGCAGGGGACAGAAAGCAGCAGGGAACAAGAGGAGGGGCAGGAGGAGAAGGAGGAGGAAAGAGGGTGTGTGTAGAGAGCCAGCCTCCGGCTCAGAAGGACCTTGGAGGGCTGTTCACCACAGGGGGCCCAGGGGCCTGAGGCCAGACCAGCTCTGACTCCGGCTTTCCTGGAAGGCTCCATGGGGGTTGGGGAGGGCATGTTTCCACCTGGCAGCTGGGCTGGGCTGGGCTGTGACTCACTGCCCTGGAGCCATTACACCTGTGGCTGACTGTGGTCTGGGCAGGGTCTCCATGAGCCCACAGCCTTGGGAGGTCCCACCCATCACCCATTTCCATGCTGAAAACTGGGCTGGCTAAAGGACCTACTGGCCAGGCCCATTTGGCACCCAAGACCTTGAACTCCAAGCCCACTGCGTCAGGGCCATGTGCCAGCCTTTTCATCCCACATCCTTCAGCAAACTCCATGGACAGCAGGTGTCAGTGCCTTCCCAGGGGTAGGGAGGCTGGGTCACCACTCTGGGCACAGCTGTGGTGAACAGAAAGGCTGATGGACCCTACCTTGGTGAAAGTCAGGCAGTCCTGGTCCTGGTCCTGGTCCTTCATCTCAAAATCGTACAGTGCAGTACCCTGGGGCGGGGCCTGTGGTAAGGGTCGGAGGCACTGGACGTAGCTAGCTGGGAGGAAGCCCCGGGTGCCGTGCAGCTCTCCGTGGAACCAGTGGTCATCCACCCGGCGCCGCAGGATGATGACGTCCCCCTTGTTGAACTTGAGGTCCCCAGGCTCCTTCCCCTCGTAGCTGTAGAGAGCCTTGCCATACGGGAGTTGAGGCAGGCTCTGGAAGCAGAAGACAGCACAGCGTCACTGGGATGGTGAGCTCCAGCTGGGTGGCCTGGGCTTCCAGGGGGGCCTTTGTGTTCCGCAGAGCAGGCAGCCTCTCCAGGACCTCAGTGCTCCCAGCCCCCGCTGGACAGCTGGGTCCCCACTGAGTGAGAGCTGCCTTCCCTCACTTCATGGAACCCAGTCCACAAGTGATCTGCCCACACTCGGGGGCCCACAGATGTGAGTGCTCACCCACCCACTGCTCTGTGCTAGATCGACTCCCACTGACTGCAGCTTACCAGAGGTGCTCTCCACAAGCCCCAAGATTCTCGGGAGTTATCATCCGACAGAATTTTGTTTCACCTGATGGCTTCACTCAGGAGACAGAGCTCCAGGTCTGAACCGCACCACGTGGATCACAAGGTACCTGCCCCCGACTCTACAGGCCCAAGCAGCCACACCCATGCACCAGGCCAAGGCCAGGGAGCCTTGTCCCTGTCACAGCCCTCCACCAGCCATGATACACGCTCCCTGTTACGTACAGCTGCCTAGTCCAGTCGCATGACTGTGAGGGCTTAGTCCTGTCCTCTTGGTCGGGGCCTCTCCTGCCAGTCCATCAGGGGTGAGTGGTCTACCTACCACAGCCCACATGGAGCCACCTACTTTGGTCACAATCCTCAGTCGCCCTGAGATTCCGTGAACCTAACTGCCTTCTGCCCGAGACACTCCTTTGGCTCAGACTCCTGCTGCAGCCACCCACAAGCTCTTCTCGCTGGGCCCGTGCTGCAGATCCTGGGCCAGATGGGCTCTGCCTTCTCCTTACAGCTCGCAGCACCAGCCCAGGGGTGGGGTTTGCCAGCAGCCCTGCTCGTGCAGAGGAGCACTGTGCTGTGACACCCTCAAGTCCCCTCCTGAAGCCACACTTCGGCACCAGGCTGCCTGTACCGCAAGCCCTGCAGCACTCAAACCATGAGCAGCAGAACACAGAGGCCGCCACCTAGCAGGCACCCTACCCACGGCAACCTAGTACAGCAGGTGGACATCAGTGGCAGGAGACCAGCAGGCAGGTGGAGCAACCACTGCCAGCTGCCACAGGGCAGGCAGAGGGTGGAGAGGAAAACCAGCATGTCTAGCCTGTGCAAGGAGCACAAGCTACCATAGCAGTTTTCTGAGAGAAGCACAGAGGGACAAAGAGGGGCAAGAGTTCAAGCTCGGTCACCACAAGTCACTGGGATGCTACCACTGTAAGCCACCAGGATGCCACTGCTGTAGGTCACCAAGGTACAGGTGCCACACAGGACTGACCAGTCAGGGACCAGGGACTCACAGACAGTGACTACGATGTATATGATGTCTTCAGCTGTCACTCCAGGAAGTGGGCCTGCTGAAGCCTCAGGAGTAGAGGTCAGGAAAGCTGCACCACCCCAACACAGGGCAGCCAGCAGCATGGATCATGAGCCAGGGTGCAGGCAGGCTGGGGGGACCCTGAGACTGTTAGCAGAGTCTCAAAATGGCAGGGTAGCCCTTCCTGCCTGCCTGCCTTCTTCCATCTTCCTTCCTTCCTTCCTTCCTTCCTTCCTTCCTTCCTTCCTCCCTTCTTCCTTCCCTCCTTCCTCCTTCCTTCCTTCCTTCCTTCCCTCCCTCCTTCTTTCCTTCCTTCCTTCCCTCCTTCTTTCCTTCCTTCCCTCCTTCTTTCCTTCCTTCCTTCCCTCCCTCCCTCTCTCCTTCCCTCCCTCCCTCCCTTCCTCTTTCCTTCCCTCCCTCCTTCCCTCCTTCCTTCCCTCCCTCCTTTCTTCCCTCCTTCCCTTCTTCCTTCCCTCCTTCCTTTCTTTCTTCTCTCCTTCCTTTTCTCCTTCCTCCTTCCTTCTTTCCTCCATCCTCCCTCCTTTCCTTCTTTTCTTGCTGGTTTTTGGGATTTTTGTGTTTGTGGTCCTACTAGGTTGTTCAGGCTGCCCTTGAAATCGTGACTCTCCTGCCTTGCCCTCCTGAGTAACCGGCTAGTAGGTATGCACCGCCACACACAGCCAGGGTGACTTTCTTGTTCTGTTTCAAGGTAGCTTACCATTCTTTTAAAAGTTAAATATAACATTTTTTTTTCACCACAGCCACAAGGAGAAGCCTGGGCTTCCATCCAAGGTTTCAAAGGACAGAAAGAAAGCCGCATGAGGTACAAAACCTGGCCTTGCCAGGGTGTGAAGCTGGTACACAGCCTGCCCCTCGCCTGTGGCTATGGGTGCCTGGGCATGACCCAGGGCCACAGGTCATGGCCAGTTGGTCTCTCTCGTTACTGTTGGTCACCCCTGTGAGCACGCAAGGCCAGGTTCTGCTCAATAGGATGAGTCACCTGGCCCGGTAGTGCCCGCTCCAGCGTCCTGCAGACAGCTGACAGAGGCCACTGCAATCACCACTCACACCGCAGTGCACGCTCTGGCTTCCACTTGCTCAGTCTGGCTGGGACAGCTGGAACAGGGGACAAAGAACTGTGTCGCTGTCTTTCCATCTGGGAGCATTCCCAAGCCTGGGGAACCCAAATGGGCCCCTCATCTGAGCGCCGGCCAAAGGTCACCCACTACAGTCACCGCACAGCCCCACCTGCAGTGTCCCGACTCTCAGACACCCGGGTTCCACTTTCCTCTGAGGGTGTTGCTCCAGGCAGCTCACTCTGTCAGCGCCTGCTGTGAGCTTACTCCACAGCCCTCGTTCTGACCACACACTCTACCAACTACCAAAGAAAGGGCACCCCATGTTCTATATGTCCAGGCTCTCAGAGACCCTATGTCCCTCCAGTCCCACCCCTCACCCCCACCACACCCCCAAGTAAGACCAGTGCTGCCTGCTGTGTTAGTACAAGCTCCCAGCACTACCCTGGGGTCCAGGCTCTTCACCATGGCAACCACAGCCAATGCTGGCACTGTCCTTTCCAGACACCGCAAGTGTCCACTCTCAGGAAGGACATGGCCCTGAGGCCCGTGGGCTTCACAGATGGAGATTCCCACCATGCACAAGCTGGGCTCCCCAGGCTGGGAGGAGGAGGAGGTGGTGCAGGGAAGGAAAACAGAGGCAGAGCAGCAAAGGGGCAGGGCAGAGGGAGCTGGGCCAGGAGGCAGCAGCCCTGCTCACCTCACTGCCAGCATGGGGCAGGGCACAGCTGAGGGGCAGGAACGTTTAAAGACCGGGGCCCCTCTGAGGGCAAGCAGGAGGTCAGACAGGAGCGTCCAAAGGCTAGGGGAGGCAGGACCCCACAGGCTGTTGGACCTGCTCAGAAGCAGCAACACCAGACACCACCGTCTCATGTCCTTAGTGCCTGTGCCCGTGAAATCCACCAGTTAGTTGGTGGACAGCCCAGAGGCCACTAGCTCTCCAGGGAGAAACTCCTACAGCCTCACTGCACTGCCCACATCCTGAGGCTCACACCCGTGTCCTGGGCCAAGCTGGCACTCTGAGCCACAGCCTTTCTGACCATAGACAGACACCCCTATAGTACAGTGAGGCACCCCCAGCTCTGCTGTGAAGGCCAACACTAAAGAAAGAAAAGGCAAAAGTGGAAAGAGCCTGAGCTGCCTATGACACAGTGCACACCAGCTACACCCACAAGGCACAATAATAATTAAAACCAGAATGTTGATTTCATTACATGAAGGTGGCGCGCAGATACCCCCCTGGTTTGATGTCCTACCCTGTGGAGAGGAGATGGCACGCAACGGGCATGTGCACACACTGGGCAGGGCAACTCCACGAGATCACACTCATGCATAGAGGCTATGGTGAAGAGAAACTGGGGCCTGATGGACCCGGAGGACTCGCTGTCCCTGCCCACACCTCCCACGGGCAGTGGAATGTCAAGAAAAGGGTTAAATAATGACAACCAAGGAAATGCATGGTCACTAGGTGACCCTGGCTACATGCCGTTTCTTACAAGGAAGGGCCGGCTGCCTGCCTTGGGGGAGAAATGTTATTTACAGCTAGCCTTGCGTGCGCTATCAACGTGCCCACCCTTGGTTCTAGCCACGGCTGGACGTGATCCCTTCCAGCCTTGCAGGGCTGTTGGCTCCAAGTCACTTTTGTCTGAACACATCCATAAGCACTTAATGTGGTGTGGCATCCCATACCAGATCCTCCCCCAGAGGATTCCCTTTCGTCTTTGGCGCTGTCTTCTGCCTCCCTTGACATGGTAATACATTGCCTGACTATGCTCATATCTGCTGTGCTTCTTCTTTTTTTTTTTTTTTTATAAAACAAAGTTTAATCATGTTTTAAGACTTTTCTTAAAAATTATTTGTATACATTCAACTCTGCTGTGCTTCTGTAAGGAGCTTACTTTGTCTTTTAAAAATCATTATATGGCTCTTCTCTGTTGGTGAGTATCCAAACCCCAACTTTCTAGGCCATATGTATGTGGCTTCCTGCTGCTACATGGAGTGCCGCTGTCAACCCCCATGGAGCCCAGGCCCAACATGGGTTACAGGCTCAAAACAGCTCCCAGATTATTGCTTGATAGTCCTCAGAATCAGAATGGAGTTAACTCTGCAGAGCCCTAATCAAAGAATAAGCTCAAAGCCAAAGGTCATGAGGGGCTCTGAGGCACACCTGCTGAGGACAGGAGCTACACATGGAAGACTTCCTGAACTGCGACTGTGCAGAGACTGCACAGGTGTGCTGCACAGGTGCTGTGCAAGGCCACATGGTGCCTGGCCTCCAGCCAGGCCTGCAGCTTCAAGGCACCCTCCACAGTTCCCCTCGTGTCCTGCAATTGCCTCTGCCTATGGTCTACTATGGCACTTGGGTTCCCACCACAAATGTAGCTCAGCTGCTCTTCTCGGGACACACCATGGTTATTCAGGTTGACGAGGACACGGATGTGCATACCAGTGCCCTGGGCTGGGGCCGCGGATCAGGGACATTCCCTGCTATTTCCCCAGGACGTGGATCCACAAGGTAGAGGAAAACACACATCTGGGCCTCTCCTCCTCTCTCGGCACCGTGGCCCCTCACGCTCCTTGGGTTGGCCCGGCACT